TTTTGAGTAAAACAAAAGGTAGTTAAACAAAGTGAGCATTTATTCTGTCTGTTACTGCCATAGAGGATAAACTTAAAAATTTTACTTCAGCTTCAATGCTGGATGTATTTCAAACCCAGCTAATTCAGGTAAACAACACTGTCTACTTTGGTTTGTGTTCTGGGCATTTATGTCTTCTCCTTCAAAAATAAATATTACATAATCACAAAAATTAAATTTGTTTTTCCTGTCAGTATTTACCCCTGTGGGAGGCTGTAGTGTAAGGCTCTCTTTATCATTTCATGTTCATCTGAATTACTGTGACTCACTGTCTCTCAATAAGAGTAGTTTGTATGTCCATAGTACCATGAGGATGAAGCCACAGTTTCTCATGGACATGTCAGAAGGACAACTTTCCACTAGAAATGAAAGAGCCTGCAGGGAAATAATAGGGAATAGAACTGAATTTTACACTGAAATGTTCTTGCTGTGCCTGAGTTTCCCCTTCACACCCAGAGGTGACCACACAGCCTTCCTGTTAGATGGATCTTGGTCGTGTGTTGTGTGTTTAAGATCTTTAGAGCTGGGACACAGAGTTCCTGTGCAGATGCTGGGCTGAGACAGAGGTTATAATAAAAAAAAAGAAAACACTGTTTGAAAACAGCTGTTTGGGTTTTGAAGCACAAATATAGCTGAGGCTCAGCAGATAAACCCAGATTTCACCAAGTCTAAGGGATAAGAGACAAACATTCCTCCTTTAATCTCATTTGGTTTGCTCACTATGTATTTAGATAAGATAAAAGCATAAAAGATCAGGGTCCTATCTTTGAACGATTTATCAGTGGCTTTTTATTTCCTCTCAAAACACTTGGAGCGTCTGTGAATCCAATAGAAGGCAAATCTCATCTCTAATAGGGATCCTGGGATTCACTACCAGTGGTTTGTTTGAAAAACAAGGTGGCTGGCAAGAGTTATTTGTAGGGTTGAGTTTAATAAGTTTTCATGAAAATCATACCAACTAATTAGAACCCACAAGTATACATAGTCATCTCCAAGACAAAATCCCTGCATTTCCAGGATACAAGAGAAAAGTAACGTGAAAAAGTGAATCATTACCAATTGAAATGATAATTAATAAAGATTGTGCCAATGTTCTTATCAGTCCCCTGCACATAGGCCATTTTTGCCACTTGCTAAAGCCAAAAAGAAAATTAGCAACAATGATGGGATATGCAAGTGAACATCTTATTTTATCAATACCTAATAAGTTTTCAGGATTATCAACACTGACCCTAAAAATAAATAAAGAGACAGCTCTGTCCAGATGAAATGAGATTTGGGCAACTGCCTCACTGAAGGGGCATAAGCAATGGTTTGCTCATGGTGTGCAGGATGACTGAAACAAAAGTGAGTTTCCAAAGTACTGATGATGTGAGGGCATTAAACTTGGTTTCAGCAAATGAGGGAGGAGGAGCTGATTTCTCTCCTGCTCACTTTCAAGTAACACCTTCACAGATTTATTTTTAATTTGCAACATATAATTTGCAAAATTATCATGCAGAAAACTACCTGACGTGAAATTCATAGTTTGGGACATTGATAGACAGAGAGCAGTAATTACCTGTCTGTGTGCTATGGGGATGCTCAGGGATTGTGTTTTTATACTTTCAGCAAAGTGCAAAAATTGGAGGACACTGAAGTGAGCAGCAGATGCTGAAGTGTGATCAAGTGCTGTGTGAGCAGTGTCACTGGGCAATTTGCCACCATTACAAAAACCCCCAAGAAAGGATAATTAACCATTCAAGGCAGTGTATGAATTTAACACCAAGGCCACCACTGCATGCATATAATACATAGCACAGAATGACTTCTATAAAAGTGAACATTCCTCCAACTCCACAAATCCTAGAAGATCAATAAAAGAGACTTTCCAGTACTGTCTACATTGCAATGGTGTTTTATGGAAGGAAAACAGCAAGACTTTAAGGGAGGCCAAAGTACATATTTGTTATTGCTACATTCCGTAAGTTATGAAAAAAATAGGGAAGCTTAGAAGTTCAGTCAAGAGTGGATTTTGTGGTTCCCTTATTCCAACAATTACATTGCCCCAACTTCTGTGCCACCTGTGAAAACTACCCAGGAAATAGAGTGGCTGCTTGGAGGCTGGGCTGGTTTGGGGCCTGGGATCCACTCCCGGGGAGAGCTGCTGGGCACCAGCAAGTTTGCTAAACAGATGAGAGGCAAATCCCCTGACAGTGGGATGGAGCAGATGACAGTGAGCCACCCCTGTACAGTGAGGTACAGCAGGGATTTGGTACAGAGCAGGGGCCTGGTTTTCTCTAAGAGCTCACAATCTCTTTTTCCCCATATTTGCTTTTAATCATAAAGTCATAGAATGGTCAGTGTTGGAAAAGATCTCTAAGATCACCCAGTCCAACTGTCAACCCAGCACCACCACCGTGTTCACCAGTAAATCATGTCCTCAAGTGCCATGAACATTCCTTGAATAGTTCCACCACTCCCTGGGCAGCCTGATCCAATCCTTGACAACATTTTGGTGAAAAACATGTCATAATATTTTATCTAAACCTCCCTGAAGCAACTTGAGGCCATTTCCTCTTGTCCTGTTGAGGTGGAAGTAAGATGAGAGTATGAAATCAGTGTCTAACCTTAAATCTCAATAATCCTTCTCTGTGTGAGCTCTGACCCCAAACCAGCAATACTGTCTGGTTGGTGCTGAGTGAACTGCCAAGCCCAAGTCAGGAGCTGCCTTTTAGTGGGTTTTGCTGCACAAAGGGTTGGACTTGATGATCTTACAGATCTTTTTCAAACCTTATGATTCTGTGCTTCTAAAAGCTGGACTATCCTTTCTCATCTATGCTCTGTTCAGCCAGGGATCATCAGCTGAAAAGCCTGAAGTCAGGCTTCCCTTTGCCACTTCACTGATGTCATGATCTGGTTTTTATCTGCATTATTTATTTAGGTGCTTCTTGCCAGTATTTCTTGTCTATCAAGGGCAGATCACTCACAGGTTTCTTATATCACACTCCAAATACCAAAATAAGTCACCCTTTAGAAACCTCAGGGTTACAGGAGCACACACAGGCTTTTTATCTTCTTAACTTCCTACAGAAAATGGAAAGGGAAATGTATAATAAAAATGTATAAGATAATGTTCAGCCCCCAAAAAAGTAGGGACAAACCCCAAAATGGCTGATGTAACAGAAAGCAGAAGATGCCAACAGCCCCCTAATGCTGCCCTGGTTCAGCCAGAGCTGCTGCCAGCACAGCCCTCAGGCAACCCCAACAATGCACAGAGTTGTTTACTTTGGCTGTTTCTCTGAATAATCTGCTTGTAATTAGGCACTTTTTGTGGATATCACATTTCCATATCACTGGCCTTTTTTTTCTCCCTTCAGGTTTTCTTTGAAATGTTCCATATGATTTAACAAGGCAGCACCTTCTTCTTTTATAACCAAATTAGGTGTTAGAAATTAATCACCCACAGCAGGCCTCCCACTTGCCAATACTTTGACAAGGAACCTCAGTTCTTATACATGTGATATGAAATCCAGGAAGGATTTTGAAGATGTGCAGTTCTCTCCTCTGTGCTGCTCTGAATTTTATTCCCATTTGTATTACTCTAAAGAAGTCTCATGACATATTTATTAAGAATAAACAGGAGCGTGCGGCTGAGCGACCTCAGGCACAGGTTTTATTTCCACAGGTAGCCCCATTCCATTTGCTGCCTGGCCAGAAAAACATCTCAGAAAGGCCAACACTGAGGAGAACTGACATGTTTTGTTGTGTCACGCTCAGCCAACACGTGTTTTGAGGCTAAATCAATAAAAGACAGATCTGCAATCTCTCATATGTGATTATATCTGATTTACTACTCATGAACTATTAAACTGTGAGAATAGAGTACACAATCCTTCTGATCATAACAGTACTTTCAAAATAAAAAAATATATAGTGAAACCACACTGCTTCAAATTAATAAACATAAGCATTTGCTTTACATAACTGGTTATTTAATGTACTGTACACAAGGAAAATATCCTGTTTAGTGTTTTGCTCATATATCATCAGGAGAAATAGCAAATACACATCATTCCCATACTAACTTGTATCTAAACCTGTAATTTGTAAACCCAGGAATTCTCAGGATACGTTTCACCAATCCCATAACATGACCCACAGAGAATTTTTAAAATGAATTACACACTTTAATGGAAATTAAAAATGGAATGAAATACAAGCCATACATTCATATGCAAGATATTACATTACATTAAAGTTCTAATTCAAAGAATGGCCTAAAAATCTATAATAAATCTGACAAGTCATTCTTTCCTTATATGGATTTTCCACATTAATTTTTAATATTCATGTCTCTCTTTAGAAGAAACCTAATGAGGCATATTACCTAAGTGTAGCTTTTGATGTGACATCTCCTTCAAACTGTGATTCATCAAACAGTGCACAAATATATTTATTTTTCCTAAAGTAAAGTGAAAATAAAATAGAAGTGTTCTTGATTTCAGAGGTAAAATAGAAAGAAAAATTTTGCTGGGATTATGTTTCAATATTGGTGCTTTGCAAATGGTGAGCAGCATAAAGGATATTTTAGAGAAAATGGTTTAAAATCACAAATGGAACATGCCAGACAGCCAAGGACAAAAGTGTCTTGACAAGTATGGAGTTTACCCAAGGCTATGACAGACAGGTTTAGCCAGATTCAGCATAAAATATTGCAGAAATCACTTGTACATTAGAAATTAATTTTAAACTTTTAATTAAGAGCCTCCTGGTTTTGCTTTTCTTTGGGGTTTCATGTCTGGTTCCAATATTATATATTAATATTTTGAGTGATATTTTGATTTCCACCTTGAACCTGAATGAGACAAACCATACTGGAAACTGAAATCAGCCTCAAGCTCATAAAAACATTTAATAAACCTTCAACTAACTGTCAAAGTTGGTCCCAGTTTAAAGTTTCCTATTGTAATCCCTGTCTGACACTAATCTAAATATTTTAATTACTTGCTCTGTTAATAGAAGCTTACAGGCTCAGAGCAGTGGACTATACACTCCAGTATGCAATGCTGTGACTTTCTAAATTAGAAAGCAATCCTCTGATCTGCATGAAATTAAATTTATTCTTTAATGAAATTTTAACCAAAATACTTCATCAGGGATCTCAGACACTGAATGCTGGAATTCGCTCCTCTCTATCTACTCCAACATTTCTCTTCATCTCATAACAAAAGCACAGTTGCTAAACTGCTCATTATCTGACCTGTATCACCTGAGATGTTGGGTTTCTCCTTTCTATCTCATCCAAGACAAAATTACAGTTCTTTCCTGAGCAATCCTCATAAATCTGCACTTTACTACTTATGTTTTCTGCCTCTTCTAATTTCAAAATCAGATCTGCCTCCGGTTCCTCTCCTTTATGTTTTTCCTTTCTATACTTTCTTGGTACATGGAGTCAGCTCCATGAAATTGGCTAATTCAGTTCCTCTAAGTTTCTCTCCAATACAGCTAACATAAAAGCATTGAGATATAGGTGATATTTTATTCTGCTCCTCTTCTTTCATATCTAGACTGAAAATATCAGGATTTATTGCATGTCGCCAGGCACATTTTAGATACTACTGTAAAACAAAATGATTCATTGATTCAGCAAAATGACTTTGTGTGGCATTTTCAAACCACAGAATCACAGAATATCCACAGTTGGAAGGGACCCACAAGGATCACCCAGTCCAACCCCTGGCCCTGCACAGCCCCATCCCCAAGAGTCACCCCCTGTGCCCCAGAGGATCATCCCAACCCTCCTGCAGCTCTGGCAGCCTTGGGGCTGTGCCCACTGCCCTGGGGAGCCTGTTCAGTGCCAACCACCCTCTGGGGGAAGAACCTTTCCCTGAGATCCCCCCTGACCTGCCCTGACACAGCTCCAGCCGTTCCCCTCATGAGGAGCTGCAGCCCCAGCCAAGCTCTGCCCTCGTCTCCTCCCGCCCAACAAGCCAAGTGCCCTCAGCTCTGCCCCATCGGGGTGAACACCCACCAAGAAAAGCATTGAAAACCAAACAAAATACTGTATATTGGCTGTGCATGGGCACACAAACACACAGTTCCCACTTAGAAAAGCCCAGACAACTGAATCTCTCATATGACAGGTTTCCAAGGAATGCTGCCATGTGACAAGGATAACACTCTGCTCCACATTTCTCCAAGACAGGAATCACCTGGCCATTCCAAGCATGTTCAGGCACATGCATTCCCAAGCTCAAGAAGATTACTGGGAATGAAGCAACACTGTGATGCAGATAGAATAGATTCCCTGTTGATAACTGAGCTGGCTGGTATTTCTTAACAGTGATCAATTTTAATGGAGGAGAATACATGGACTGTGGAAACAGAATCTGAAGCAGAAACCTTAATGACCACTGTTCCACAATCATCCTCTTGTTCCTTCAGCAGTGTTTGATACACAGTTCGTGTTCATGTTAACTTCCCTTAGGTGAGCTAATAAATGATATTCATCATTGGCCTCACCGTCCAATGATGTAAAACAGGGCATGTGGAAAGGGGAGGTGGCAGACAGGGAGGAAAATGGGCACGCAAGTAGAAGGCCATGCTTCCAGAAAAGGCTTTGCCTTCTCAAGGGAATCAATATACAATCCTTTTACCATAAGGTTAAATAGTTACTAATAATTACTAAACTATCACCCTTCTCTCCCACAGTGTCCAGTTGCCTGGAACATATCTCCAGCCCTCAAATAGAGCTGCAAAACGGAATTTGTCAGCCCCCTTCCCTGCTGAATTTGTCAATCCACTTCTCCTACAATAGCCAGCAGCTGAATTTCTATTTTTGCTGGAGCTGAGTTCAGCTCCTGGCAGAGCAGGGTGAGCCAGCCCGGGGCCAGCCCTGGAGCAGAGCAGGATGAGCACTGGGCAGCAGGGACCTGGCAAGCACCGCTGCTCCCAGTCCATCACACTCACTCCTGTTTCCTGAAATACAGGACTACAACACCACAGAAACATTTCAAACACAGAGGGAGCCCTATTTTGTGCTGCAATGACTGCAATAAATGACAGACTGACTTTCAGAGGAGACTGAGTGAATTTAGAGTGAAAACCCCTCATCTCCCAAGCCTGGTTTACATGTGCAGAACCTAACATTCCTCAGGCATTAATATGCCTAACTCAGAGTTCATTCTTTCATAATTCAGCTGCACAGTCATATTGCTGCTAATAAGTAGTTTACTGGTCTTAAAAAATGGTTGTTAACATTACAGTAATAGATGTTATTAAAGTCATAAATATTCCATTTACAATGCCTATGTCTCACCAAAGTTTGAGGCTGTTTCAAAGATCAGATGTCTCATTCTTCAGTCTGCTTTTTCAGCATAGAGGGATTTTGGTGGAAAGTTCTGTTTCTGCTTCAAGCAGAAACTTTATTGTTGTTGGAGTTTGATACAGTGATGAAGGAAAACTCAGCTCACAGATGCTGACTGCAAAACTGTAGCAGAAAGTAAAGAGCTTTCACTCTTTCTCTTTGGGAAGTTTTTCTTCTCTTGCCTAATTCTGGGAATTTCTGAAAATAAAATTTAAAAAGGAAGGAGTGCAAACACGTTTCAGCTGTACACTGAGTGAAATCTTTCCTGTCCAAAATTGATCATGGACTTCAGAAATCAGGGCAACCATGAGCACAACAATATTTCTTTCTGAACACAACTGTTATCCTTTAATATAGACATAGTAATGGAGTATCAGAGTGCCCAGGATGGGTGAGACTTGGATTCAGCCCCTTCTGAAGGGCACTGAAATGTGTGCTGCAACGCTCACATAGGAGCAAGCCTTTGGAAAGGAAATGAATGCATAATTAGGAGGTGGGCAGTAATCCCCTGGACAGGGGAATGGTGTGAGGGAGAAAGAGCCAAAGCCCTGTAGCCCCACTCATACCCTTAAAGAAAGTGGAAGTTGTCACTGCTTTCAGGGAAAATCTCTGGTTTATGGGACTATGGCATCTGATTGCCAAAAATTCCTATTTAAATCTGTCCCTCATTGAAAGATAAGTTGGAACAACCAGTTTTCTTTATTAATTCAGTATTACTTACAGCATAGGGTCATATTAGCCTGTTCAGACATGTCAAGTCTGAAATACTGTTGCTATACAAAAGCACAGCTGCACCTATCCAGAAAGTTTAAAAAAATAAAATTAAATAACTGAGTACTGCCAGCATGTGAAGATTGAACCAATTTTAAAAGTATTCAGGACTGAAATGGCTGAATTCCTATTCAGACACTTCTGGATCTGATTTTAATATCTACACAATAACAGAAGTAGCATAATTTATGGAGCATACCACTAAGGATGGGGAAAATGATGTGGCTGATCATTTAATCTGGGGCAATGTATTGCAGTTACCAAATGCAGGTCACTCAGCTGTGGTGTGTATTTCAGCCACATTAGAAGACTGTGAGTTCATAGTTTCTAATTTTTAAAGCAGATCACAGCTGCCACGTCGTTAAGACCTTACAATTATATCTGAAAAATAAATTGTATTATTAATAGGATGGTTATGGCCTGTGAGTATTAGATATTGTTGTTTGTTATTTGCACTTAAAGAGGGATTTTAATCAAGTTTACCATTCTCAAAAAGTCTGGTTTGCATTTAAATAAGCATGCTTAAAAATTGATCTGTTTTGCTGAATTATACAATGCCTCGTTCTGGGGCCTCGGAATAATTTATTATACAGGCTCTATGAGCAAGGAAGATGTATTGCATTGTGCTTAATCTTATCAAGTTTCTGCTGATTTTTGATGACAATGTCTGTTTATCATAATTATTACGAGTTGTCTGGGTTAATAAAACTTGAAAAACTATGTGGAAATTAAACCAGTGGGGAATGTTAAACCCACTGCTTGTGTAAGGCTCTCTGATACCAGCTG